AAATCAAAAAGGGCAAAGGTCCTAAGACTGAGCCCTGAGGTACCCCACTTGTAACATTAATCCAGTTTGACTGAATTCCATTTGTAACAAACCTTCTATCCTTAGATTTTCCCTTAGTGAAACCATGTTGACTATCCAATAAAATTCTAAACTTTGTTAAATGACTTTGCAAAGCATCTTTTAACAGACTTTCCAAAATATTTCCCACAACTGACGTAAGACTAATGGGTCTATAATTACCGGGCCAATTTTTATCAACTCCCTTTAAAAGAGGAGTTATATTAGTTAACCTCCAATCCTCTGGTACCTGCCCACTATTCAAGGCTGACAAAAAATAGTAGCAAGTGGCTCACATATCCAATCTTTAACCTCCTTCAAACCCCTTGAGGAAATATTATCTGGCCCAGAAGCCTTATCAGGCTCTCTTCCACATTTTTCATGCTGTACAGCCAGGATTCAAAGCATTAGTCATTACATTAGATATTACTAACATACTCATGCTAACCAGTGGTCAGTATTCCATTATTACAAAGATGCAACACGGACACACGAGGAAAATTACTAATGCTTTAGGAGAAGGAGTATGGAAAGGAGCAATTACATTAACGAAACACAAAAGACAATAAAAATACTTATTGTGAAGCACTTTTTTTTTTTTTTTTTTTACAGCTTGATAGTGACATTTTAAACTATTGATACCTTAAGAAAACAAAACAGCTATAGCAAAGTTTAATTTAAAAATGATGAACTCATTGCAGTTTGATAATTGCATGTCATATTAATTTCATAAACTAAATAAGTCTGAAAACAAACATAGAACATTTTTAGTGCCATCTATTGGTGCTTACTTGCAGGCTATTAATTTTTAATATATATATTTGCTTGTATATTATGTTTATTTTCAAGCATTTTAACTTTTAATAAGGCTGATAGTATTAAATTTTTATTTCATAACTTCTGTTGTTTGTAAGCTATAATCAAATAGATTATGTATATTCTCAAAATTACATGTTTTTGTAATCCTATGAATATGTAGTAAACTATGCTCGTCATGTAATAAGTGTCCCCCTATGACTGAATAATAAATCGGAGGAGTTTATAATGATAAAAATCAAGTTTTGACACCTGTAGTGAGCAAAGCACAGATAGCCTATCATGTAGCACTAGTTGCACCATAGTTATTACATTTAATGTGGACTCTGATAACGTTTTACACATTTGTGTGTACCTTTATCTTGCTTCATGAACATACCAGTATTGTTCTTATCAAGGTAGACAATAAACACTCCTGTATTAAATTTACAACTTAAAACACTGCAGAATATATAGAATACTGAGAATTATAGTATTGTGATGTAAGTCTTATACGAAAATCAGTCCAACTTGTATATATGTTGTATGACTTTGTTTTCTTTTTTTTTTGGAGGTTTCAAGACTTTTAGTGGGTAACATTTTACTAAATTAAATGTCTATAAATAATGCTAAGTATTGTACATAACGACACATCTTGGCTCTCGGAAAAGGAACTCTGTGCCTAATTTATTTTACTATTAGTGGTTGCTCAGTTAGAATGCAAATGTTAAATTACAGATTTAATATACCCAACTGTAAACTGAGGATTGTGAGACATGAAACAGAGAAATTTGTATGTTGGCTTAGGGTCTGAATGAATCAGTTAGTTATGAAGTAATTATTATGTGGCTTTTCAGAGATTCAACTATGACGGCCATGGGATGGCAGCAGGCAACCCACACTGGTCATGGCACCCAGCAGCAGCTATCGGTGGTCACTACTGTCTGGGGGATGTCACCCACCACCCAGAGTGGACCATTAGCTCACAATACGTACAGTGGTACAGGAACATCAGTAGCACAAGTACCATATTCTCACAGTCAGCATGGATACTCTAAACCTTATCCTCCTCAAGGTATGCCTCCTAGACAGGCGACACCTACGTACAATGGGTGAGTATGTGTCAAGTAGTGAGTGGGTGACTATTACCGTCTTGTAGACAAAAGTTATTTCATTCCTTTGTTTTGGTGGTTAAACTTTTCACTAATTAGATTCTACTAAATGTTTTGGATTAAGATCCGAAAAGGCTTAGAAACTATTAGTTTATTCCTGAAGTTGATTTTCTTAAAATATGACTTTATCATCTGTAAATGTTTTCAACTTATCTACTTCCAGAATAGTTTCCAATGAAAGTAAACACAAACTAAAGGGTACTCAGTAGAGCATATATCTCAACCATGCAGCATTGATAAACACAAACTAAAGGTTACTCAGTAGAGCATATATCTCAACCATGCAGCATTGATAAACACAAACCAAAGGGTACTCAGTAGAGCATATATCTCAACCATGCAGCATTAATAAACACAAACTAGAGGGGTACTCAGTAGAGCATATATCTCAACCATGCAGCATTGATAAACACAAACCAAAGGGTACTCAGTAGAGCATATATCTCAACCATGCAGCATTGATAAACACAAACTAGAGGGGTACTCAGTAGAGCATATATCGCAACCATGAAGCATTGATAAACACAAACCAAAGGGTACTCAGTAGAGCATATATCTCAACCATGAAGCATTGATAAACACAAACTAGAGGGGTACTCAGTAGAGCATATATTGCAACCACACACCATTGATAAACACAAAACTAGAGGGTACTCAGTAGAGCATACATCGCAACCATGCAGCATTGATAAACACAAACTAGAGGGGGTACTCAGTAGAGCATATATCTCAACCACGCAGCATTGATCATATTTAGCTCTCAAAAAATATTCACATTTACTATGTGTCCATCATTTTTGGCAGGACAATGAGGAATAATGTTCTACATATGTCCACCAAGTTTCGTCAGATTCCATTTTTTTTCTTTCTTTTTTGACTGAGTTATAGAGCAAAAACAGTGTGAAAAATCTGTCCTTATGTTAACAGACAGGATTTTTTTAAATTTTCATGACCTTGACCCTTCAAAAACTAATTAGTTCTAAGTTAGGTCATAGTCCAAATGTATACCAACTTTTGTCCAAATCCATTCAGTTGTTTTGAGAAATCTTGAGGTGAAAACATAACCTCCGTCCACCTTCAGTGGCAGAGGTAATAAAAATATACTTAGAAACATGGAATAAACACATGTACATATAGGATGGGTTGAGTTTTGGTTCTGACATTTAATGTGGTGAGTATACATTTTTATTCTCACTAATATTAAGATTAACGACCAGTTTTTCTAGAGACATTCTTTAGACAAATCTCACATTAGATTATCACAAGTTGAAGTTTTGTTCTAGAAAGAACTCTTTTTTTTCTCTCTCTCTCTAACTATTATACACCATATATTCCCATGATCCACCTTGCATGCTTGTCTTCATTACATTGTGTATTATGTTAGTATTCAATATATTGTATAAAAAGTATTGAATAAGCACTATTAAATGTAACATAGTTGTTATAAAAAGCAAGGTTTTCTATGAAGCTAAATTACCTTATAGTATGTTTAAATACTTCAGAATTTATACTTTACATGTAACTAACACCCTTATATAAATATATTCCAAAAGATTTTTACATAAACTCCTGAAAATAGTTAAATAAATTAATGACCACTGTAAATTGGGTTTCTAGTTATGGACACACACCAGCAGCAGTTGGACCAAACATGCCTACTGGTGGCCCTGGTTCTGGTGGAGACTACCAGGGGTCATCTGCAGCTCTTAGTGCTGCTGCTCTTGTAGCAAGAGCAGCTGCTGCTGCCACAGCAACAGCAACAGCCACTGCAAGTGTGGTAGCTTTACAGGATCAACAACAGCATGAAACAGCGATGGGTAGCCAGTACCACAATCACGTAAGGACTACTTAAATTTCTGTAACTCTGATAAATACTTTATTTTCGATGCTGCTTTATTGACCAATTAATCTGTAATAAATCAATATAAAAGCTTATGCATCATAATTAAAATTGAAGTACCTCAAATTGTAATGGACTGGGAGGAAAGACTGGAGATTGGAAGTTCTAGTATTTCAGTAGGTAGAGCATTATTGGTCATGAAATCAAGTCTTATTGTAAGGTAGATGAAAGAGTTCCTTTAAATGTGATTTATCTAACCTTTTATCCTATATATGTTCTATGTATCAAAACCAAGTCCTGCTAATGATTTTATCTTATATATATGTTCTATGTATCAAAACCTAGTCCTGCTACTGATTTATCTAACCTTTTATCCTATATATGTTCTATGTATTTAACTGATTTAATCTTATATATATATTCTATGTATTTAACTGATTTAATCTTATATATATATTCTATGTATCAAAACTGAGTCCTGCTAATGATTTTATCCTATATATGTTCTGTGTATCAAAACCTAGTCCTGCTACTGATTTATCTAACCTTTTATCCTATATATGTTCTATGTATCAAAACCGAGTCCTGCTAATGATTTTATCTTGTATATGTTCTATGTATTAAACCGAGTCCTGCTAATGATTTTATCTTATATATATGTTCTATGTATCAAAACCTAGTCCTGCTACTGATTTATCTAACCTTTTATCCTATATATGTTCTATGTATTTAACTGATTTTATCTTATATGTATGTTCTATGTATCAAAACTTGAAGATATGTATTAAAGTAAGTAGAGCATTATTGGTCATGAAATCAAGTCTTGTTGTAAGGTAGATGAAAGAGTTCCTTTAAATGTGATTTATCTAACCTTTTATCCTATATATGTTCTATGTATCAAAACTTGAAGATATGTATTAAAGTTAAACTAGCAGTGATATGTATATAAATTCTAAGAATTTATAACTGAAAGTAAAGAAGAATATGTCATAGTATGTCAAGCACACAAGGCTTTTCACTCAATACCAGGGTTAATCAGGCTAGCTGAGATATGACGGATATAGTAGTGGTCCTGTTTATATCATTAATTTCCATCAACAACGACTGTTATGAATGAACTAGATTATGTAAGTGAATTGTAGTTATATTCAAATCATTTACAAATCAGATTTTTAGAGTCAGGATTAATAACCTAATATTATTTATTTATTTTATTTTTATTCTGTATTCCAAAATGTTAATTTGTGAAAGCAGATGATACTGATTAAAATAAGTGAACTTCTAAGCCGTATTCTTCTTGTGAAAACTAATGAAAGTGTTAAAACTTTGCCTGATTACCAGTGGTTAAATAGGGATATTGAAATAGTGGAATTACCTTTTGTGATTCACTTTGACATTCCACACAGAAAACCAGAACCCTAATGGCTTGAATCCTCAAGAGGCCGAATTTTGTTCTGGACTGTTACACCTCAAGTTAACCCCTGTTGGTTACAGAGTATTACTTATCCTTTTTACTGTAAATGTGAAAGTTTTTCTGTCTACACATTCTTTAAATAGAGTATACCCATTAAAAGGTTTTACTGTGGTAGGGAATCATCCTTTTGGTTGCAACTTCAAACTTTTATTTCATTATTGTTTTGTGTCAAAATAATATTACTGATGTGATTTTTGTTTATGTATAGATGCAAAGTATGTCTAGCCAGCAGTATCAACAAGGATATATGCCAACAGGACCACCACAACGAATTCCCTCCGGTCAAACCATGGGAAGTCACATGAATAACCATATGAGCAATACAATGGGAGGTTCAATGCCATCAATGGCTAGTTCCATGGCCAGTCCTATGATCCCTATGAACAATCCTATTATGAGTACAACTAATAACATGAATCCCCAGATGGCCATGAATGGACCAATGGGGATGAATAAGGGTGGAATGCAAGGAGTACAAAATATGGGAGGACCTGGACAGCCCATGTATCCAATGCCAATGGGAGCGCAAACCAGGGCTCGGTCAACTCCATACCCAAACCCATCTCAGTATATAGCTCAGAAACGACAAGTACAGTACAATTCTGGCATGGCTCATCCATACAGCCCAGGCATGCAGCAATATGGACCTGGCTCTCAACAGCCATACAACACTGTACAGGTAGGTGTAACTAATAAGATTTTAGCAGTTTCTGGGTATCCCCATCACCAAAGTATCAGTTACATTTTTAATAAAAGACTCAGCTTATCGTAAAGAAATTCAGTGTAGTTCCTACTGACTGCACATACTCTTATGATGTTAATTTGGAAACACTTTCACATGTTACAGCAAATGTCCCTAACTACTTCTATAATTTACTAATCACATACCATACCAGTATTTATAATTCTTAATACTGATAAACCGTATATAGAACTAACCCTGAACCATAGTGATGGTAGTCAGCTTCATAGCTTTTAGCATGGTAACAGTGAATTAACACTGGACAGTAGTAATAACATGTATATAGTGTTTGATTGATATAACATGGTATACAGTGTTTGATTGATATAACATGGTATACAGTGTTTGATTGATATAACATGGTATACAGTGTTTGATTGATATACCATGGTATACAGTGTTTGATTGATATAACATGGTATATAGTGTTTGATTGATATAACATGGTATACAGTGTTTGATTGATATAACATGTATACAGTGTTTGATTGATATAACATGGTATATATATTGTTTGATTGATATAACATGGTATACAGTGTTTGATTGATATAACATGGTATACGGTGTTTGATTGATATAACATGGTATACAGTGTTTAATTGATATAACATGGTATACAGTGTTTAATTGATATAACATGGTATATATTGTTTGATTGATATAACATGGTATATAGTGTTTGATATAACATGGTATACAGTGTTTAATTGATATAACATGGTATATATTGTTTGATTGATATAACGTGGTATATGGTCATTTGTGTAAGAAATTATTGTCATCTTTTTGGCACCATTTCACAATCAATTTTTAATACATATCTTCAGAAGTTAACTCTCTGAACTTGGTAGGTTATGTTATAAATGGAATAACATTAAAGAACAACAAGGGACTTCTTGGTCCATCCACTAAACACTTAAGTACTTAAAACCAGCCTTTATCATTTAAATATTTATCACGCTTTCCCTTAAACTTTCTTAAATTAACTGCATCTACCACATCTGAGGGCAATCTATTCCAAAGGCGATCCACCCATTTGAAAAATAAAGCTATCTTAGCTAAAGATGTCTCCGTTATGTAATTGTTACTTTAATGTATTTCATCTACAACTCATTTTTCAGTTTCCTGGTGGGCAAGGGGTTCAGTACCCAAAACAGCCTTCCCAGTTTCCTCCATCCATACAACAGCAACACCTCCCATCCAGTGGTTATCCTCCACAACAACAGATACGACCTTCCATGAGACCTCAGGCACCTTCATATGCACCTCAACAGGATCACTGTTACCCACAGAATCACGTGAATGGAGTCTCTCAACACACTCAGTACGAACAGCAGTATAATGGCAACCAGTACATGGGACCTCAAAATTTTCAGGTGGGCTCATAAATCCAAGATTGCAGTAGGTAACCAGTGTTAATCTCTGGTTTCAGTCTGCCCCAAAATAGCTTACTTTCTCTATATATCGTGTGTATACTGGTTATTTTTATGGACATTAAAAATTAATTATTATGATGTGTAGAGTGCATTATTTGAATACAATAAATGCTTGCTAATTGAATATATATATACACCTGG